GGCTCCATTTACCTTGATATCTTCTTTCCATAGCTGCAATGTCTTGATGGAAGCGCTCTCCGTGTTCATCACTCACTGCTCCACAGTTTGGTGGGAAAAAAATATCCAGATGCGAATGTAGAAAATGAATTTTTAGAGACATGTTGCAACCCAGATTTCTGTAAGTCTGGATGAGTTTTTCTACCACTTTCTTGTAGTCTGGTGTTTTATTGTTTCCAAGAAAATTTGATGTCACTGATACAAATGCTGTCCAGGCAGCCTTTTCCTTTCCACGCAACAGAGAAAGAAACTCATCATCATGAATAAGTTTACGAATCTGTGGCCCAACAAAGACTCCTTCATTTATTTTTGCAGCACTAAGTGCTGGAAATTTGCTAATCAGGTACTTGAAACCTGCTTTATTCTTGTCCATTGCCTTAAACAAAGTTTTTCATTAATCCCAACTTGATGTGTAATGGAGGTAATAAGATCTTATTGCTGTCTACAAGTGCTGGATAGTTAACATTTTTTTCTCTCCAGGCTGCAATGACTGGTGTAATGGGCCAGTCTCTTTTGGCATAGTGCATTTCTCTCGCACGACTGTCCCACTCACAGAGGAAGCAGCAGTACTTAGTATATCCACCTTGAAGTCCAAGTAGGATAGCAATCACCTTCAGGTCACCACAAATCGACCATTGATGTTCATCATAGTTGATGCACCTTAAAAGCTCTTTCAAGTTTTCATACGTTTCTTTCATTGAAACTGCGTAAGCAACTGGAACTGACGGCAGCTGATTGCCATTATGGAGCAAAACAGCTTTAAGACTCGCTTTTGAAGCATCAATGAACAGCCTCTACTCATCGGGGATCATAGCATACGCCGATGGCTGAGATCAAACCATGAACATTGTTACATACAGCAATATCACCTTCCTGGACGAAGAATGGGATCAGATCTTTCTGACGATGACGGTAGAAAGATGTACGAACATCACTTGCTAGGAGATTCCACTGTTGTAGTCTTGACCCCAAAAGCTCTGCCTTGTTTCTTCGGAAGATCCAGGTCTCTGATAAGATCGCTCAATTCCACTTGTGTAATGAGGTGTGGTTCAGTGGGTGTGGATGGAAGAAAGTCTGGGTCATGTGAGGTTGACGGTTGATGACTACACGCTTCAGGTTCTTCCTCACTTGACTCAACCACGAAGGATTCTGGTGCTTTAGGAATTGGTAGCCCCTCTCCATGAGGAACTGGACGTATTGCCGATGGAATATTTGGATAGTGCACAGATAACTTTTTCTTCTTATTTAGCCCTTTTGTTGGAGGCACCATACAAAAGTAACAATTACTAACATGATCTGTTGGCTCTCTCCAAATCATTGGCACAGCGAAAGGCATAGATGCCTTTTTTCCATTCAACCATTGCTCCAGTGCCGTCCCACAAGAATTGCAGCATATATGTGGTGCCCAGCTCTTGTCCTGGTCTCCTATCTTGCAGCCAAAATACAAGTTGTAGGCTTTCTTAATCATTCCTGTTATCCTCCTTTTTTGTGAGATAAAAGTTATTTCACCGCAGATATAGCAGAAATTATCTGCTTTATTCACACAAGTTCGAGGCATTACTGAGTAGCCTATATAAGCATAAAACGAAATGTAAAGACGCTGTCGAACTACAATCAGCTACAGATACTGCAGCTTTTATGCAGTGAAGTGATGCAATTAAAGGCTAATATTGCATCATCTCAGTATACATGCAATTTTCTATTGGTCACCAGTATCAATTGCGCAATATGCAGCTAAAGTTGCATCATAATTTTGAATGGCTTATGTCATTAGATGGGTAAATATATCATGGAAACTAGAGCCAATCAACATTTTTTAGGGTCATTTTCATTTTCAGCACCCCAAAATTATGTAAGATTAGCTAATTTTATGCCCAAAACTTTTTACCTGTTGAACAGTGTTATCTGTCAGAATACTGTAGCAAAAGTGATAAAGAAAAATTTAGCAAAGATTGAACTGCAACCATCTCACGGAGATGTCAAGGCTGTCCACGGAAGTTAACACCTCGACAGGAGCGTCTTCTGATGAGGAAGGTTGAAGAAAATCACCATGCAAGTTCACTGCAGTTACAGTAGCTAAAGAAGTAGAAAGCCAAACTGGGGTGATTGTTTCCTGTGACACAATACATCGTACCCTGCAGAGGAATGCAATGCATGGGTGTTGTCCAAGAAGGAAGCCTCTCCTAAAGCCCATGCACAAAAAATCCTGCCTAGAATTTGCCAGGGCCCATGCTGAAAAAGAAGAAGACTACTGGGACTCTGTGCTCTGGATTGATGAGACCAAGATAAATGTTTTTGGAACTGATGGCTTCAAATCTGTACAGCATCGCAAAGGTGAGGAGTGCAAAGAAAAATGCATGTTGCCTACAGTTAAACATGGTGGTGGTAGTGTCCTTCTGTGGGGCTGCATGAATGCTGCTGGTGTAGGGGAGCTGCATTTCATCCATGGTATCATGAATTCACAGATGTACTGCTCAATATTGAAAGAGAAGATGCTACCATCACTCCATGCCCTTGGTGATCGTGCACTTTTCCAACATGACAATGAACCAGAACATAAATCAAAGGCCACTGTTGCATTTCTGAAGAAGGACAGGGTGAAAGTGATTCAATGGCCAAGTATTTCTCCTGATCTGAACCCAATCGAACACCTATGGGGAATTCTGAAGAGACAAATTGATCATCACTCTCCATCCAACATTCAGGCTAAAAGAGGTCGTTCTTGAAGCATGGAAAAAGATAGATGTTGCAATATGTCACCAACTTGTTCATTCCATGCCTAGAAGACTTGGTGCTGTCCTTACGAATCATGGAGCTCATACAAAATATTAGATGTAGTAGTTTTTGTTATGGGGTGTATTCATTTTTACATTAACTAATTTGAATAAAACTGAAGATTTTGTAATCTAAGTTATATTAACCTTACTTTCATGTAATGAGCTAAACAAATGTTCTATAAAACTCAGTTTTGTCAAAATTTTGGAAATTGTATTGTATACAATCAGGGGGTACCTCAGAATGTACTCCTTAGACACCTGTTAGTTATTTTACTGTGAGCTTTCTTACTGTTTATACTGTTGACTGTATATACTGCTCTTTACCACTGCTGCTGATACTAGGTTAAAGTTGCTTAGTACCACAGTGATCTGAATTAACTGCCATACTAGAGCCTAGTATTTCATACTATAGCCTAGTTTATTGCAATTAGACTCCTTTACCCGTTCATTGATTTTTGTGCATTGCCATTTATTTTGCCTTGTGATAATGTACTCACTTTATACGCAACTAAGTAGCCTGGTGCCTACTTTGTATATGTTAATATAGTTGTGGCTACTTTGTTAACCTCCCTAGTGGTCTGATTATGTCCATATTTGTGTGCTCAAAGCAGTAAATGTTTTTGCATGGAAATATGTAGTTTTTTTATTGTAGGCCTGTAATTCTTTGGAATAACTCACTGAAATCTGTCCGAACAAGAGTCTAGTAAACATCCCGGGTATGTTAAAATTTGAAACACGAAATCATACATTATAATTTAATAAATAATCATAAAAAATAATAATATAATAATAAATTTAATTCAATAATATAATAAAAACCAAAAACACTGAAATTTGAAATAGAGCGCCAAGTTCGCACATCACTGAGCAAAGTCGCAGAATGGTTTTCAGTGTCTGATGACGAATTTGCCCACAAATCATTATCACTCAATTCTGCAAGTGGTTCTAATTTACTATCGCTGTTCTCTAGCTGGTCTAAAACCGCTTTTGACCTAAAAGGGACACTTTTTGGGCGCCATAGACATTTCTCAGTTTCAAGGCAGAAAGAACAGTAAAAATGCAGGCAAAGCACAGGACAAAGCACTAGGGACAAAATGTATGTGAAATGGTTTGATACAGTACTGTTTTACTATGTTATTTTAGTGAATTTAGTGAATGTCACTTTTTGACATTTTTAAATTTCCCACCAGTTCCATCCCCGTACATCCTGACGTGAGCGGGGAACGGAACCCGGAAGAGAGATGCCGGCATCGGCCGGAGGACATTGCCGGGGGCACTGCAGGGGGGACATCGCGGGAGCGCAGGACAAGGTAAGTGCAGAAGAGATCCCGGAGCAACGTTGCAAGGTATTCCTGAGTGTAGCTCGGGGTTACCGCATGTGGTGCTGAAACTTTAATCTGAGCTACACTCGGGAATACCTCCATGGAGGTTAATACTTGAGATCATAAGTGTTTGCAGCACCTCATTACCAAACCAGGTGTGTCAGAGGGGACGAAGCAGTTCTCAGAGTCAAGACAAAAAACAGAGAACCTGCCATATCAAGCAGCTTCTCCGGTGCTTAGTGCTACATATATTTATTATTACAGGTACTTATATAGAGCCATCAATTTACAAAGAACTTTACATATACATATTATACATTCACACCAGTCCCTAACCCTCAAGGAGCGTACAATTTAAGGTCCTTAACTCACACTCATATATACAGATAATAGGGCCAATTTAGACAGGAGCCAATTAACCTACCAGCATGTCTTTGGAGTGTCGGAGGAAAACTGGAGTACACTCACACTGGCACAGGGAGAACATGCAAACATTGTGCAGGTAGTGCTGTGGTTGGGATTTGAAACAATGACCCCTGTGCTGCCAGGTGGAAGTGCTAACCACTTAACCACTGTGCTGCCCATTCACACACTCGCACACTGGGCTATAATTCTAAGTCATTCATTGCAATGATGTTCTTATTTTAACAAAAGCCTGATTGTTTTGTATCAAAATAGTTGCTCTAAAAACCCTTTAGCCAATCTTCCTGCATCAGTTTATCAGCAAGGATGCCAATTTCAATGTCTTGTATACACTTGACATGCCCTACAGTAGCTCACTGAAATTGTCCTCTAGTTTTCATTCAACGGACAATTTTCCTTTTTCTGGTCATCCTTCAGTGCATAGAAATTTAGCTCTTACCTTGTTTTTCTGGCTCTTCTGCTCTTCCATCTTTGGAGTCTGTGTTATGAGAAATGAACAATAGTGAAATTGTTGTTGAGAAAAATCTTCTATAGGTTGCCTGAAAAAAATCTGAAACATCATTTTACATAGGTCTCTTTATTAATAAAAAAAACCCTACCGATTGAAATTGCATATAACAGCAACATTTTAGAATTCTCTGCCGTATATCCACAACCCATCAATATCTTTAGCAGATCTGGTCATGCTTTTATATTGCCAGATCTGTAAGAGATCTGGTCACATGTGTTTGGGTCTGGATTGTGTAGAGAACTACATTGTTTGTATACAAGTACAGTATACTCCATTGCTGGAACATGGATTCTCACACACTCATAATAGAGTAAAGTCCACAGCCTAGTCCCCTCCTTGACAAATTGGTCCTCTCCTTTTTCATATAGGAAAGAGCAGGGAAGGTTAATACTACTGTTAGCTGTATCATTCCCTTTTGGAGAAATTTCTAATTAATGTCAGTCCCAGTGACACTTCAGGAAGTGAGAGGAAATCTCCCCTCCAGAAATATTTCTCATCAACTAGAATTCATGTCTCAACAAAAATGTTCATCAACATCATCACTGACACTGATGACTACCAGTGTCATGGTGTGACCTCAAAAGTTAGCAGTCTGCAGTTTTACTTGATGATGATTTAACTGGTTGCCGACCAGCCACAGTGTTTATACTGTGGCAGGGCGGCACTGCTGCGCAGAACAACGTTTTAAAACAACATTCTGCAAAACAGGTAGGGGGCGTGCGCAAGGTGTGCGACCGCCATACCTGTCCCGCTGATCAATCACCGGGTGTCAATCACCGGGTCCCGGCCGGTTGTTACCCGCCGGGTCCCGGCGATTACCGGCGATCACTGACAGGGAGCATGGCTGCAGTGTTTAAACTGCAGCTCTGCTCTCTGTCAGTTTCCGAGCACGCTGATCCTGAGAGCGGAGTTTGTCTTTCGGGATCAGCGTGTTCCTGTGAAGCACACCCCCCACCCCCTAGTAAAAACACTCCCCTCACACAGTTAACCCTTTCATTGCCTAAAAAGTTAACCCCTTTCTCCCCAGTGCCATTATTACAGTGTCAGTGTTTTTTTTTTTTTTCTGCACTGATCACTGTAGTGGTGCCACTGGGGATGTCAGTGACCCCAAGTCAGTGCCCCCCACCAGTGTCAGAATGTCCGCCCCAGTCGCACAGTTCCGCCATAAGTCGCTGATCAACACCATAAGTCACTGATCGCCACCATAAGTTGCTGATCGCCGCCATTATTAGTATAAAAAAAATAAAAAATCCAGTATCTATACCGCCATTTGTAAACGCTATAACTTTCACGTAAACCAATTAATTTACACTTATTGGGATTTTTTTTTAGCAAAGACATGTCACAGAATACATTTTGGCTGAAATTTATGACGAAATTAGATTTTTAAATTTTTTTACCACTGGACATGTTTTATAGCAAAAAGTACAAAATATTGTTTTTTCTCAAAATTGTCAGCCTTTTTTTTATAGTGCAAAAAATAAAAAACGCACAGGCGATCAAATACCACCAAAAGAAATCTCAATTTGTGGGAAAAAAAGGTTGTAAATTTAATTTGGGTGCAGTGTTGCATGACCACGCAATTGTCAGTTGAAGTAACGCAGTGATGTAACACAAACCGCTTCTGTAACCTCTTCCTGACCGCCCTATAGCAGAAATACTACTACAGGGCGGCACGGGTGCACACAATCACATATATATACGTGATTCGCACTCCCGCGGTGTTCACGCCCCCCTCCCAGACAGTGTCAGATTGCCGTCAGTACACCACCAGTCATCACATTTAACCCCTTGATTGCCAGGAACACGCTCATGCACAATAAACCTCGATTGCTAGTATAGTGTCTGAACGGACCAATATCTTTGATCAATCAGCACTATACCAGCGTTCACATTAGTATAGCGTCCCCAAAAACGCAGCGTTAGCGGGATGAGCCCTGGCACCTGCCAGCACCTGCATTTAGCCAATACGCTTACCCCCCCCCCCTCTCCCCCAGCAAGTGCAGTGTCAGTAGGTCACTGTCACTTGATATATTACACACAAAACCGCAGTGTTGGCAGAATAAGGCCCTGATCTCTGTTAGCACTTGTCAGCACTGTTAGCACTTTTCGATTTACCTGTAACCCATGTTTGGATTATGGTTACTTTTGCCTGCTATAACCATCACTTTGTGAGTATATTTCCTTATTAATAAAATTAGTCACTATTTATTGATGTAAGGGTTTGTGGCGCTCTTTCATCTTCCCAAATTCAAACCTTGCCAGAACAGTCGCATGGAAACTCATTACGGTTTTCGAATAAAATTTTTTTGGGGCCTAACCCTCAACATGGGCATTACTAAAAAAAAATGAATTGTGATTGTATTGGTCCGCAGACCCGATTCATCATAACTGCCTCTGCGTTCTCTGCTACCATTGGCCAGGCATAGGTATAGAGAGTATAATGTGTTTTTAGATGCACTTCAACAACAGTATACTCTCTCATCCTCGGGGTAACCCTGAATTTGACCGGCTCCACAAAATTCAGACCCCTCGCAACTCTTATCACCTTAACCTAAAAATTTGCAGATAGTCTATACTCCCCAGCAAAACATCTGCGTTGATGAGAAGTCCCCTCATTAATTTTTCTGGCCGCACTTGAATTCAAAACAATTTCTCCCCTGCAAGCGTGTGCCAGATATGGGGTCAAGATGTAGAAGACCTGTGAGAGGACAAACACACTATACTTATAGTTTCGGATTTACGAGGGAAAAATGATAGTCACGTGGTGCCCCCCGGATACCCAGACTTAATCATGGGGAGCCAGTGGCAAGATAGTGGGACTTGTATGATCACTTTTTCACATATGGGGTATTCACATATACGTGGAACAATTTTCAATTGTATTTAAAACATTTGTTCAATCTTGGAAACTGGCGCTTGTGGCAAACTGTGACCTAATGTGTGCCCACCATAAGGAAGGGGGTATTTTCTAATGGTTGGGCATACCACACACTTTTTCTGGCAGAGATTTCTTCTCTTTTTTTCATTCAGTCCCACAAGGCTGCATACAGAATAAAAAAAAAGAACATAGCATATACACCCAACAAGGATCATGCGATGTACTGGTACATCACTGGACTTTGAATGGTTATACCAGGATGATGCCTACAGCTTCAGGCATTATCCTGGTATCGTTTTTTTTCAGCCAGCAATCGGCTTTCATGTAAATGCAATCCTAGTGGTTAATTAGCTACAGGATTAGCTTTTACAAGCATTTGTATTTGTATTTTTTGGTAAAAATTGTGCTTTTGAAAAATCTCTGCGCGAGTACTATGTGCCATAAAAAATTGTAGTACCAACCATTTTATTCACTAGGGTGTGTCTGCTTAAAAAAATCGATATATAATGTTTTGAGGGTTTAAATTTATTTCCTAGCAAAAAAATACAGATTTTTTTCAGGTGAACAAAAAGTGTCAGAAAAGGCTTGGTCTTCATGTGGTTAGAAGAGAGTGAGTGATGTGTGGCATAAACTTCTAATGCTGGTGCATCATAAGAATATTTTTTTTTTGCCCCCACCCCCAAAACGACCTCTTTTTGGAAAGTAGAGACACCCCAAACTATTTGCTGAGAGGAATGTTGAGTCAATAGAAGAAAGTATTTTTTACCACAAGTTTTTGGAAAATGACAAAAAAATAATATATATTTTTTTTACACAAAATTGTCACTTAAATGATTTACTGCTCCCACATGGCATGGGTATATGTGGATTTACTCCCCAAAATACATTCTTCTACTTCTCCCGAGTATTGAGAGGGTACCAACGTGTGAGAGACGTTTTTGGCAGTCCAGCCAAGTACAGGACCCCAAAATCCAATAAGCACCTTCAGGCTTTTTAAAGGGCTTTATTTCCTCATTACACTTCCAGACTGCCTATCACAGTTTCGGAGGCTCTGTTAAATGCCAGGATAGCACCCAAACCCCCCCCCCCAAATGACCCCTTTTTGGAAAGTAGACACCCAAGGAATTTGATTGATAAGAAAGCATGGTAAGTATTTTTCAGATCTCTTTTGTTGCCACAAGTTTTTGGAAAATGAAGAAAAAAAACAAAAAACATATTTGTTCTATTCTAGGATTTTTTAATATTTCAAAAACTTGTGAGAAAAAATGAGATCTGCAAAATAGTCACCATGGTTCTTTTTAAAATTCCTTGCGGTGTCTACTTTCCAGTAAAGGGGTCATTTGGGGGGGTTTGGTGCATATCCTGTGCATTTCAGGGCATTCGAAACTGTGATAGGTAGAGCAAGTGTAATGAGGAAGTTACGCACCTTCAGGCTTTCAAAGTGGTCATTGGATTTCAGGCTCCTGTATGTGGCTAGGCTCCCAAAAAGTCTCACACACGGTGGTACCCCATACTCGGTAGAATGTATTTTGGGGTTGTAATTCCACATATACCCATGGCTTGTTGCGAGAAATAAATCATTTAAATGACAACTTTGTGTAAAAAAAAAAAAAAAAATGTTTTTGTCATCTTCCAGAAACTTGTGGAAAAAAAATAAATCTTCTATGGACTCAATATGCCTCTCAGCAGATAGCTTAGGGTGTCTACTTTCTGAAAAGGGGTAATTTGGGGGTGTTTGTACTCTCCTGGTATTTTAGCACACCTCAATAAATGTGATGGGCAGTCAGAAAGTAAAAGCTGTGTAAAATTCCATTATCTATACAATAGTTTGTAGAAGCTATAACTTTCACACAAAGCAATAAATATACACTTACTGGGATTTTTTTAACCAAAAACATTTAGCAGAATACATTTTGGCCAAATAGAAAGCTCTATTTGTGTGAAAAAAGGACATACATTTCATTTATGTACCATATTTGCATGACCGCGCAATTGTCCATTAAACTAGCGCAGCGCTGTATAGCAAAAAAAATGGCGTAAATTGCAGTATCTATACCATAGTTTGTAGACGCTATAACTTTCACAT